TTATACAATAGTCAACCGAAACAAAAAAAATTAAATCATAAAGTTTGAAAATCAATTTTTTTGTTTGTGTATTTATGGAGTATTTAAAAAATTATGGTATTTGTGGAACATTTGAAAAATGGTGGTACTTTTGGAAACACAACTTCAAAGTGTGGTATTTTATGAAATTCGTCTTATTAAAATCAACGAATTTTATGAATTTGCAAATTAATAGTCGTTTACAAAATTTGCAAAAAATTATATTATCCTCTGTTTATTATGAGTTTGTAGAAATATTCGTAATCACAAACATATAATGCCATATACACACATGAATTAGAATTTGTTCATTAGTTATTTATATAAATGATTGAATGTGAAATTAAATATATATATATATATATAATTATTTTCTAAATATTTTTAATAACTAAATATTAAAATTTATTAGTATCCGAAATTTTATCCTTTAAATTTTTAATTTAAAATAATTTTTTCAAACTTTCGCTAGAAACTCAGATTCTTAGAAAGATTTATGGTATTATATGTTTGTGATTACGAATATTTCTACATCCCTTCTATTCACGATGCCTTTTGGTTTAGAATGTTTTTAACTTAAATGAATGGTTCATCCTACATGATTTTATCCCACAAAAAATTAAATCCAGTTGGAGCCGAAACAAAAAAAAANCATATCATATAGATTTAAGANAAATTAAAAAGTCTTTTGTCAAACAAAATTATAAAGATGCTATGGAAATCATGGGTGAGAACTTGAAAGCATATCTTATAGATTTAAGAGAAATTAAAAAATCTTTCCGTCGCAATTGTTGTTGATGCGCTTCTGCTTCTCTCTCAAACGATCTAGAAGATGAATATAACTTTTTTCGAGAATGAATATACCTTTCCAACTTTGGCAACTTCAAGAGAGGCCTTCTCAAACATGAAAATAATATTGGAATTTTCTGTTTTATGATCAGAATGGTTAATAGGTATCCTTTCATCAGTATCAATATATCATCTTGTTCTTCCTCAATCACTTCCTTCTCTGCAATTGTGATAAGAAATTGGTAGAAAATGTACCTTGAACTTTGTAGGTACCTTGAACTTTGTAGAAACTCCAAGTTTTTGAACAATCCAAACATGCTAAACAATTAAACATATCTTATTAGCATATTATAATGTAGAACATAAATTATATCATGATTATAACTTGGTGAAGAAGAGATTCATATTCTTT